TCAGAAAAGGATTCGTTGGAGCTCCCAAAGGAGCAAGAACCCTTAACAGTCTCATCACAGATTGAACAGGTGGTCGCTCAAGCCGACACTCTGACATCTGATGAAGAAAGAGACAAACTAAGCCAAGTTCTTTTAAAATATGAAAAGTCAATTTCAACTGACCCAGACATCATCCAACTTCAGAAGTTGGATGGTCCTGCAATTAAATCGATGATACTGTATCTGACTGACCCAGACAAATACACTCCATCGAAAGTCAAACTGGATTTCAATCCAGACCTTAAAGTCCTCTTTCAGCTGCGCAAACAGTTAAAACTACTCAAGGACAACCTAACTTTAGCTCATGGAGCGACGTCCTCACCCGTGTTCGCAGTCTCCCATGACCGAAGGGGGGTGACGCCAGTTAGGATAATGCTACCAGACGCGATAACGTGAGCAAATCTGACATCCAGAGTGAGTGGCGCACCGAAACGTTGTTTCCTAGTTGCTTAATCACTGCTTTTGTCGATGTTGAAACGTTGTTTTACTGGTTGCTTAGTCACTGTTTTGTCGATGTTGAGACATCGTTTAATTGGTTTTGGTATTGTTTTTGAACACCCCAGGCAAGGATGAATTTTGAAGTGTTGTCGAAGAGAGACGAGATGAGTAGAGTTTTTCAGAGCTTGAAAGTTTTTCCTGGAGAAGAGTTCCAGAGTTTAACTCTCTGAAGAGAGTTAAAGAGTTCAGAGTTCTTGGATGCTAACGCAGGCGTCCAGGATGCTTCTATTGGAATCCAGAATCCAGAGACGATTTTGGGGATTATAACTTCTGTTTGGATAACCTCACACGACTCCTAAGGGTTTGGCTGTCCTCACGGAGACACTGAAAGAGTCAGAAGGGAACTCTACACCGACGCTGATTCTATCATCAACCAGGTAAAGGTTCTATTTCGACCAAGCGTACCGTGGGCCAAGCTTATTCTCGAAAGAGCGTGTTGTTCTGGTACCACAGATAAATTCCCTCACACATCTCTCTGTAAGATAAATCTCCATTTTCCATCTTTAAACTCTCCTTTCCCTAAGATCATTACAGATATTTTTAGAAATGTCTGAAGCAAAGTTTCTCAATCACCGCCGTGTGAATTGAAGTCTGCGTTTCTGCTGAAAAGTGAGAGCAATCGCCGTATTGTTCTCACTTCCTGTAAAACTATGCTGTTGTTATTTTCATATTTTGCCAAATTAATGTAAATGTTTGATGTTAATCTTTGATTCTGTAAATAAATGACCGCATTCATTTTGATGGGTCAAAGATAAATAACGTCTCTCGTTACATTTCTGTTAAATTCAATGCACGACAGCTACACAGTCAGAAAAATGAAGAACCCGTGAAATGTATGAATATATCCTGCATATGTCATACTACACTGGTCACATCCTCATATTCAAAACAAGACTCAGAATCCATTTTAATAAAAATTAAAAATGTTCTCCGTAACATTGATGAGACATTTAGGTCCATTTGTGAAGAATATTTTCAAATAGAAGAATTTGAGTGTGTTATTAAAAAAGTATCATCAGATGAAGCTCCTGGATCAGATGGTGTTACCACAAACTTTGATCAATTCTTCTGGAAAGACTTGAAAATGCTGCTGTTCGATGCAGTTATGAATGTATGAATCATAAAGAATGAATGAGAACAATGAAACAAGGTGTCGTCATACTGATGCACAAACCAGGAACAGATGAAAGAAACTTGAATCACTTCAGAGCCGTCACACGTCTCAACACAGATTATAAAACATTTACTACAGTTCTTGCAGCTCCATTAAAAGAAGCTTTATCTGATATAATGAGCTCCACTCAGTCTGGTTTTATAAAAGCTAGATCAATTAATTAATAGATCAATTAATAACATTTGTCCGGTTCTAGATCTAATTGAATATGCTCATTTAATCCCTGATGACGGGATGATTTTATTTCTGGATTTTCAGAAACCTTTTGATTCGGTGGAGCATTCTTTCATTTTTGAAACATTCAAACGTTTTGGCGAGAAGTTTTTAAACATAATCAAAATGCTGCATACAGATGTTAACAGCTGTGTCTCCTTAGCAGAAGGAACAAGTCCCAGATTTACAATAAAGAGAGGGATTAGGCAAAGATGCAGTGTTTCACATCTCCTGTTCATCATCATGAGCTGTTGGCTCTCTCTATAAGAAGCTCCAGTGTTCATGGCAAAATCCATGCTCGATAATCCAGGTACACCTTTCTGGATCGAAGGTGAAACGTTTCAGCACAACAAAAGAAACTGTCCAGATGACCTGACTGAAAAATGTTGTCCATTCTTCGTGGTTTACAGATGATGAATGAGAATATAAGTCAGCGAGCAGACGATACAACTCTGTTTGTAAAAAATAAAGATCAGAGTCCACTGGAGATCCAAACAGGAGAAACATTCTCCAAAGCATCAACGCTTCAAGTTACATTTGGAAAAGTGTGAATTAATGACTATTCATGATTGTTCTCAGTCATCTTTTTACAACATACTGGTCAAACTGGAGGTTTGATACCTGGGCATCGAGTCACAAAAACTGCAAGTAATTGTGTCAAAGTGAATGTTGAAAATAATATTACTAAATGCAAATTGATATTAAATAACTGGTCACAAAGAGACTTAACTCTTTCTGGTAGGACACGACGAACCAACATGGAGACTATCAAGACTGGTTTACCCTGCGTCCTCCACAGCTATACCTCCAAGAATTATTAAAGAAATTTAACTTCATTTGGAGAAATAAACATCATTATATCAAAACAGGAGCTACAGTTAAAAATGATGAAGATGGTGGATTAAAGCAATAGATTTTGAAATAATGAATGTGTATTAAAACTTATTCAATGGTTTCTTTAAAATGCTCCTGAGGTTTGGTTTGTTGTCCCCACTTTGGTTTTTAATAAAGTTGGAGGTACTGACTTCCTGTTAAGATGTGACTGACATTCTTCAATGACCTGTTAAAGGATCTGCTTTTCACCAACATGCGTTATTAAATTGTAAAATATCATCCAAACATAACTTCAGTCCTCGTGATGTTCCTTGTTGGAACAACAGAGTCGTTCTACACAGAAGGAAGTCTGTGTTCATGGAAACATGGACGGAGACGCAAATCACTCACTCATCTCATGGATGAAGAGGGAAATCTATATGACTATGAAGAATTCATTAAAACATAATTTATTCTGTACCAAGAAAGACTATGACAAAGTAATCAAAAATCTTTCAATTGAATTTGTTCAGTTAATAAAGAATAATTATGAAACTAAACCAACAATTAGTTTACTGAGCATCAATCTCAATGGACTAAATTTAATACACAAAAAGTGCAACAATTTTTTAAGACAACATTTAATAAAAACAATATATTCTGGTCAGGTAAGAAGAGAGTTTCATGATTTCTACGATAAGAAGGAAAGAATAAAAATAATGACAACATATCTGGGTTTCCCTCTTCCACCTAAATATAAAGAAATTTCAAAACTAAATAATATTTATCCTTCTAACGAGTTGATCACAAATAGATTTAAATTTGAATGTGATAACTGTTCTATATGTAACGAACCTGAAACAGAACATCTGTTTTATTTCTGTCATTCTGTGAACACGTTATGGAAATCCCTTCACGATCTTCTGACCATGAAATCCATGAACATGAACTCCTCTCTTCAAAATGTCTTATATGGATATGTATCTGAAAATAAAAAAGATTAATACTTTGTTAATAACATTATCATAATACTAAAATTCTATATACATAAATGCAGATATGGCAAGTCTAAACCATTATGGTCTGTATTCAAACAAGAACTCCAGATGTTCAAACTTTCATTGGACTGTGCTAAAAAAACAGCTGTGATCACCTCGTTCACATTATATAACCCTCTGACAAATTGTTTTAGTAATTATGCAAAATACTAGGTATATAATGCTGTTTTTTTAATTTATTTGTACCATATTATTTGCAATCTCTGATAATAATATAACCTAAATTTAATTTTATGGTTATGATAATTTGTTACTTAGGATGTTTGACAGTAGATAATTTTACACGTTTACATGCATCATTGGAATTGGAGATTGTCATTTGTTATTCTGTTAATGTGTTCGTTTGTTCTGTATGTTCAATAAAGTAAAAAAAAAAAAGCTTAAGTTACCAGAAGGAAGTGGAAAAAGCTGAAAGGAGCTTAAAAAATGTGGAATTAGCTGAAAAATCTAAAATTAGCATCCATCCATCCATTATCTTTCGCTTGTTCCGAAGTCGGGTGGCTAAAATTAGCATGACGAAGCTAAATAGTTGAAATAGCAGAAAAAAGCTAACAGGAGCCTAACAAGCTGAAATTTGCAGAAATAAGTTAATTAGGCTGAAAGTAGCTGAAATTACCACAAAACTATCTGAAAACAGCTGAAATTAGCTAAAAAATGCTTTAAAAAAGTAGCTGAACAGGTAGAATATAATCAGCAGCAGAAAGCAGAACGAATGTTCGTAAAAGGTTGTAAACAGATCTAAAGATCTGAAGGATTTAAAATGAGCTCAATACATTTTACACGAGAGAAAAATGCTAGAAAAAGCTAAATATTTCAAAAAAGCTAAAGTTGCAACAATACCAAAAGTCATAGCAGGCTTGTCCTGAAAGAGCTGAACGTTTTGATTTATGATTTATTGAAATAGATGAAACTGCAGGACAAGAATCGGGCCCAAAAACTGTATGGAAGGAAAATGGATGAAGCCTTCACACCATTAGCATGTACTGTACGTTACTGGTACCAGTTTCACTCATTTTTACTTGTCGTTTGGTCAAACCTGACGCCAGCTTGTAAACAGATGAGGAATTTACGACTTTATTTGAAGCTTACGTTGACACTGTGAAGCATCATCAGTGGAATGTCTTACAAAGAGTTGTCACAATAAATACAGCTGAGGAAAACTAAATATGAGACAAAAGTAACGTGATACAGAAAGATGTGCGATATTATGGAGCTATAAAGTTTAAAAGCCTATGGCCTAAAAAACGATCTTTAGTAGATTAAACATGGTAAAAATGTAAAGAACTACAGTTTGATGATAAATAATCCTCCTGATGACAGGGACTCTTACATATGGATCACAAGTACAAACAGAACGTGTCACTGGTCAAAATATTCTCTACTTTAGTTTTACAGGAGAATTATTTTAAAAGTTTATCTCTGTGTGGTTTGATTCCACATCACTACAAGTGTTGCTGCTCAAAGTGTCAAGTTCAAGAACACAAACTAAACTTTTCTTGATGCTTCCGGACGATATAATAAAAACTAGTGAGAACAGCAAAAGTTTAGCTCTGTTTCATCAAATAATACTGGTCTGGAGGCAGACGCCTCTAATAGTCGATGGTTGGCTCATTGTAGTGGGAGCTGTAGTCGTCGGTGTAACCACCGTGGTACTCGTCCTCCTGAAACTCGGCCTGATAGTCACTGTCACTGATCTCTGACCCGTTGGTGCCGGTGCCCTGGCTGCCGTTTTTGTGAACGATGGGCTCAGTGGGCGGGGCGCAGTACTTGGGATCGTAGACCTGCCGGCCGAGCCCGTACACACTCATGCCCCTCTGTGACGCCACTTTGTTGGTGCCCATCTGGAGGGAGATGGTGGAGTTGTCCAGCGGCTGCAGAGCCGCTTTCTGGTCGAAGATGTCCCTGCGGGTACCTGGAGCCGACATACCCGCCTGCCGAGAACCAGAACGCAACGTCAGAAAAGGCTCGTTATAGATGTTGGTAACATTCATATTGTATTTCATTACTTTAATGCCACATCAATAACTCAGAGCAACTGGAAAACAGCTGAAGAACTGAATGAGATCATTCTTTCAGGATCGTAAACTAGAAGAAACAAGAGCACTGCATACAGCGCATGATACACCTGCCAACAAACTATTATCCAGCAATACAGCAATGGCAATTTGTGACCTTGACCTTGGAGCTGGGGTGATGAAAAGTGTATGCAACACTTGGCCTATTCATGCAAATAGTGTATGTTTTGTTAAACAGAATAATTCTTGAGCAGATCATTATGGACAGAATAAGCAAATATTTGTGACCTTGACCTTGGAGTTTGAGGGATGCAAAGTGTATGCGACGCTCCGTCTAGTAAAGATGTATACACGTATGAAGTTTCATTAAACTATGTTGAGTGGATCAGAACTTCAAGGCAGAACAATCAAATATCTTTTAGAAAATGTTGACCTTGATTTGTGACCTTGACATCTCGAAGCTGAGGTGGCAAAGCAAATACGTCTAGTAAAGATGCATATGAGTATGAAGTTTGAGCACAGCAGCATGTGTTGCTGATGAGTACGTGTTCCAGGCTGGGCTCCTCCTGATCATTACAGCGTTAGTAGAAATAGAAAACAAGATGCCTTCTACCTGACTGGCTCCTTTGTTGGTTCCCATCTGCAGACTGATGGTGGTCTGGTCATAGGGCTTGTCAGTCTGGGTCTTTGGATCATACAGATGCCTTCTGGTCCCGTAGGCCGTCATTCCAGCCTGACTAGCACACTTGTTTGTTCCCATCTGAAGACAAAAGAAGAAAAACACAATTAGTTTTCCAAAAGCTCCACACTCCCGTTCTGATGGAGATAAAGACCAAGTCAGACCCAGTCCATGATGCTACAGAGTTTTGATCTTTAAGGGATCTCCAACTACCTGCATATACTGGTCTTAATATGTTTTTTTCTCTATTTTACAAAAAGTTATTGTGACGTGAAAACTCATAATTACTTTAAAAAATTATACGTTGATTGCTTTTTTTTCCCACCTAAGGACATTGCCATTTGTTTCCCGGTGCAGCGTGCTCCGAGGTCTGAAATATATTTTTAACAGAATTATATACATGATGTTCCTGAACTGTGTGATTGTTCGAAGCTTGTAGTATAAATTCATGTTCAAACTGATCCTTTGATTTCAGGTTTTGTTTCTGGTAAGGAGGAGTTTTAGTTACACGCCTGCATTTGACAACAAACCTGACAAAGTTCTGATACATCCAGGATGAGCTCATCATTGTTTGGGAGCTGGTCACATGGTAAGGAAGTCCAACCAGCGGAGATGACACCAAGGGGGTGTGGCCAGTTCTGAAGAAACTGTGATGCATCTGGATAGCGTGGGCACTGTCCCGGCAGGAAGGACAGGCACCGCTTTGATGTGATGAGACATTTTGTAAAATAAACCTGCAAAGATTGTGCACGGTTATTCTCAGAACAGGAGGAGTTCAACTCAGTGGGAGGTGGACTCCTCCAGGGCTGCCCGTTGTCACTGATTCTGTTCATAACTTTTATGGACAGAATGTCTCGGTGCAGCCAGGGGGCGGAGGGATTCTGGTTCTGTAGCCTCAGGATTCATCTCTACTCTTTGCAGATGATGTTGTCCTGTTGGCGTCATCGTGCCGTGATCTCCAGTTCTCAGTGGAGCAGTTCTCAGCCGAGTGTGAAGCTGCTGGGATGAGAACCAGCACCTCCAAATCTGAGGTCATGGTCCTCAACTGGAAAATGGTGCACTGCTTTCTTCGGATCGAGGGTGAAGTTCTGCCTCAAGTGGAGGGGTTAAAGTATCTCAGGGTTTTGTTCATGAGTGAGGGAAGAATGGAGCGTGAGACTGACAGATGATCAAATCCCACACAAGACAGGCTCTAGAGCAATGTGGATATCCTAACTGGGCCTTCCTGAAAGCAGAGAAGAAACCCAAACAGGACTCCAGTCAGCCATCAGGTGAAAAGGAGGAAGCCAGACCCAGACCAGTGGTCATTCTGTATGTTGAGGGAGTATCAGAGATACTGAGACGTTTATTTTCTAAACATAACGTCCCAGTGGCTTTTAAACCCAAAATACATTAAAGACTGGTTCATCCCAAAGATCCAGTCCACCGGCACAAACAGAGTAATGTTGTGTATGCTGTTCAGTGTCAGGAGGGTGATCAGTCTTACATCGGGGAAACTAAACAGCCACTGGCCAAAAGGATGGACCAGCACAGAAGATCAACATCATCAGGCCAGGACTCTGCGGTCTACACTCATCTCCAGGCCAGCGGT